GTGGCATACACCTGTATTCGCAGCAATGGAGAGGCTGAGGCAGGAGGATCTGTGGATTTCAAGGCTAGCCTGGGCTACATAGTAAGTTCAAACCCATTCTGAACTGCACAGCAAAACTCTGTTTTTTTAAAAAAAAATTTCTTTCAGCCAGGCATGGTGGCACATGCCTGTAATCTCAGCACTGAAGGGAAGCTGAGACAGGAGGATTGAAAGTTTGAGTCCTTCCAGGGCAACTTAGCAAAACTCTATCTCAAAATAAAATAAATAAAAGGGCTAAGGACACAGCTCAATGTGAAACCCCTGATTTCAATCTCCAGGACTAGAAAGAGAAAGAGAGTGAGACAGAGATAGACAGAGACGGAGACAGAGACACAAGGAAGAGAAAAAGAGAAAGAGAAAAAATTAGTTTCTTTTTACCTCTCTCTTTTTCAATAAATAATCTGTCTATCTCTGGCCCCAGGCAACAACCCGAGTGCTTTTTCAAAATTAGGGTGGAGTGAGAGAAAGAACAGCATATTTTTTTCTAATAGGAAAGACCCAGTAGAGAAGAAAATAGGTGATACAGATTATAGGAGATCATGTTGCATTTGCCTCTCAGACATTCGTATAAATGGAGTCAGTACTGTATGGTGTCTGCTATCTTCCACTAACAATGTTTTTGAGAGTCATTTCATTGCATAAAGCAGCCCTTCCTTTTTATTTATGAATAATATTCCATTTTAAGTATGCGTCACAGTGGGCTTATAAATTCACTAACCAGTTGCCATTTGAGATATTTCTGAGTTGAGGTTTTCAAGTATGAATGAAGCTGAATATATGTACCTATAATCCACCTATCATTGTTTGCATGGTTATGTTTTCAGTTGTCTTTGGAAAATACCTAGGACTGCTGGGTCAGTTTTTTTATTTTACATTAAATTTTTTTCCCCTTTTTAAAGTATATGTTTGCAGCACATAATAAATACATTGATCATGGGGAATCGGTACCTACCCAAATTGGTCTTTTTTACTTCTCCTTCCCCATCCCCAGATCTTCCATCTCCACAGCCTCCATCCCTGTTCCCCATCGTCTCTTTTATTCTGGAAAGCCCATACTTGTCTTCACAGGAAACTGTCAACTTGCCTTCCACAGGGCTTGGACCATTTTACCTTCCCATCAGCAATGTGTGAGATTTCTAGTTGCTCTATATCTTTGGTTTCGCTCGATATTTTCAGTCATTTTAATTTTAGCTGTTCTTGTGGGCATGTAGTGGTTATCTCACTGTGGTTTTCATTTGCATTTTCCTATGACTAATGAGGCTAGCAATCTTCGTGTGTGCTTGTCGGCCATCCAGGTTCTCTTCTTTGGTAAAATATCAATTCAAATCATTTGTCCATGTTTTTAATTTTAAATTTGCGTTGATTTATTTTTGCTCAGTTAGTCAGGGTTTTATTTATTTATTTACTTTTGCAGTACTGGAGACTGAATCCAAGGCCTGCACACTGAGCTACATCCCCAGATCTTTTTTATTTTGAGACTGGGTCACATTAAGTTGCTAAATTGCCCAAACTGGGCTCCAATTTGCAATTCTTCCTTCACCTCCCAGAGTGCTGAGATCACAGGCACTGTATGTGTCCCACCATGGTCTGTTCAGTAAAGGGTCTTTATAGATTCTGGACACAAGTCCTTCATCAGGTGTAGGCCAGTGGTAGAGCACCTCTGGATTCAATCTCTAGTACCAAAACAAAAAACAAAACAAACCAAAAACCTGATTTTTTCCATATTTTCCAATTTCTAACTTAACTGGGTGTATTTTCTTAGTTTGCAGACGAGTTTGTGTAGAAAGACTATATAGAAGCATTAAAGAGCAAGGATCAGTACAACACAAACCTGAACCCTGAATCTGTAGCCTGTCACAGTGGCTCAGATTGGGGTGAAGCACTTAACTACTCTGAGCTGCTTTCTTTATAATCAAAATGAAAACAGTGATGATTTTTGGGAAATAATACTAAGACCCTGGTTTTCTAATTCTGGGTAAGTTAATAACTTTCCATAATTATTATTATTAAATTAAATTTAGAGCTACCTGTGTCAACTTAACTGACAAGATACGGTGGATGGTGTTTATATAATTGCTAGAAGCTGCTGGGTATGGTTATACACACTTGTAATCTCAGCATTTGGGAGGCTGAGGCAGGAAGATCTTGAATTTGAGGCCTGCATGGGCTACATAAGGAGCTTGAGCATGGTCTGGACTACATAAACTCTGTTTCAAAGAACTCAAAACCAAAACAAAAATCACCAGAAGTTAAAATAATTGCCACAATTATTATTAAATCATTACAGGCACTTTTCCCAAATAGTAACGAGCCACACATTTCACAGTCAGTAATATGTTTTCCTGACAAAAACTTGGGGGTATTTGTAATTTGTTGGAGTCCTGTGTCAACAGATGCCATCCAAACTTCTAAGAATAGAAAAACCTCAAATTATTTTTCTACCACAAAGGCACAATCTAAAAATGTCTCTCTTGCCAGGTAATGCTTGTTTCATAAGGTCAGGTCTAGGAGAGTTCTGGCAAGGTTAGTGACTTTGTAGCAATTGCTTGTTTCTCTCTTCTCATCCTTAACTCTGTGGATCACTCACCAGGCACTTGCTAGGTGTAGGAAGGGATATAAGGCTTCCCTGATAGATTTCTCTTCCACTCACAGAAGTTTTGGTTCAGAGTTTTTAGCAACTCTGAACTTCCGGTTCGGAGATTTTAGGAAGGTTAACTTTTTCTCCCACATACAGTAATATTCTGGTTCAGGAACATTGTCCCAAACCTAGGTTTGCAAGGAGAATCATCCAGACAAATTGTGCTTCTTCTATTCATGACTCCCACATCGGGTGACACTGAACCTTGTGGGGAAATTTGATTCTGTTTTTGACCAGAATCATGGAACCGAGGGGACACTATAATTTGTATAGCATTTGTATCTAAGTTAGCTTTTTTAGCTTTGGAATCCTGGCTCATAACAAGAAATCTGGGGTCATCCATTGGTTGCATTTAATAAATGAATGTTTTCAACTCGCCACTCAAAGAAGGCAACCGTGTTTTCCTCGGCTCGTTGCCACCCAGGTGCACCCAGCTTCCCGGAGAGCCCCCCAGAGCGTGCAAGCACGGGAGGACCCACGTGGCATCAGGGCCTGTGATGACTGGAGGGGCTTTTGCTGTCTAGGTGACTTCCAAGCCGCGCTGCTGCGGGTCCTCCAGTGGAACACGGTGAGAGCCAAGTGACTCAGCTCACTCTGGCTCATCTGCCGGCTGCCACCCAAACCTCAGAAGCACACACAGTCGGGTTTTGACTCTGGGTCGTGAAGACTGGACTTAGCTCGCTGCGTGCACGCTTCCTGACCCGGATTGGGCTCCACCTCTCCATGCTGGCCGGAGCCTCGCTGCTCCTTCCCAGCTGGGACAGCTGTGCAGGGTGTGGCCGTGACCCCGCTCCCTGACCACACTTCGGGCCACACAGAGCCTCTCTGGGTGTCGCCGCGCACTGCCACCCGCATCTCTGCTTCCTTCGGGGTTTGGCAGGAGGCTGTTCTGAGGGCATTGATGAGGCCCAGCGGTGTGGCCCGAAGCCCAGGGCAAAGGCAGCAGGCTGGCTGCTTCAGGCCCAGACCGAAACTGTGGTTCCTGAGCACAGGCACGGGCCAGGCGGGCAAAGCCCGGCTCTTATGAATGAGGCTTAATCGACACTCGGATTCTCTAGCATCAACTGCTGCCCCTGAGAAAGCGATCATTCTAGGTTACCAGTCTGTATGTGTATGTGTGTTTCCTTTTTTTACTGTATTTTTTCTGGGGATTGAACCAGGGCTTTATGCACACGAGGTGAGCACTGCACACTGAGCCACACCCCTGTATTTTAATGTGCATGAGCTCGTGACTGTGACCTGTGATCTGGTATCTATAGATGAGGAGATAGAGGGCAGCAGAATCAGACGTCAGAGCCCCGGGGGAGGAAGACAGGACGCAGTGGGCAGTGGTGAAGGACAGGAAAGGGTGCTACTCCCCACCCCCACCCCCACTCCCCGTCCCTAGCTTTCTCCTGCCCAGTTTTCCTGGCTGACCTGGAAGTGGGGTGCAGAGCTTTGTAATTAACAGGCACAACCTCATGCAGCGGTTCTCAAATTCTCTGCACCCTTTAAGGGTGTGAGCGCTCCTTCTGCGCAGGCGCACGCCGAGGTCTGGCTAGGCTGATGTCCTTGGCCTGCTCCCGGCCAAGGGTTCGCTGACCCCAGTCCAAGATGTAGCTCCATGCCAACGCCATGGGTTCAACCTCCAGTATTGGGAGTGGGGAAACCAGATCTCCAAGCCAAAGGAGGCTTTAAGAGTCCCCAAGACCGGGAAACCCCACTTGGGTATCTTCTCTCAAAGAGCCTGGGGAAACCCTAAGGACAGCTCAGCAATGGAAGAAATCCCCACTCGTGTTTTGTGGGAAAGGAGGGCTGGCTGGCTGTCACCCTGGAAACTCCCCAGGCTCAGGAGTCTCCCTGCAAGGCACCACAGCCTGGCTCAGGGTGCCTTGGGGTCCCTGGCTGCTGCTTGGGCCCGTCATTCACTAGCTCTCAGGACCCCGTCCCTTTAGCACTATTCACAATTAGCCTTTCTGCAGTTAGAGCTAATCAGCTGTTCTAGTGGCAACAGGATTTTCTTTCTTTCTTTGTTTTAAATTAGATTTTATCGGTACATTTTAGGTACATGTCATGTTCACATGCATCATAGAGAATTTGTACCTGTGCATGGATTTTCAAGTCTGGCATGGAGTGAGACCCACTTCTGAGCAGCGAGAAGGGCCGATGGTGTTTGTGGCACATTTCCTCAGTGCAACCCCGACTCGCTTTACCAAGTTTGCAAGTGTGGGCAAAATGTGCAGTAATGTAATCCACTTTAAAATTGGATGCATGATTCTGAGCTTCTAGATCAAAACAAAACAAAAACAAAAAAAAAAAGGAAAGGAAAGGAAAAAAAACCCACCTAATCTGTTTCAAGACCTTCATCAGTGTGATAAATATGGAACGATTTAGAGGAGGAGAATCTGGCTGTGGTGATGAAATTAGTTGCCGAACTCAAGGTTACACAGGCCGATGTGCTTCATGGGTATGACAGCTGACTCAAGCCAAGACAAGCAGGCAAGGATGACAAGGTACGGAGCAGCCTTCGGGCCGAGGTGCTCCTGGGCCCAGGGCTCGGTCAGTCTCACACTGGCTCAGAGTTCTGGTTCAGCTCTTTCCCTCCGGTAGCAACAGAGGCCCCAAAGACCTTAGGTTCTGGGGCTGATGGCTCTCAGTTTCAGAGTACAGAGCCTGGGCCACCCTCCCCAGCTCAGCGAGGAGGGCTGGAGCCCATGTGCTTTGCATGAATCCTCAGGTGCGGCCAGGCTTGGGACAGTCATGTGGACAGTGCAAAGCTGCCTGCAGCTCTGCTGGGGGAAGAGGGCTGATCTGCAGGACCAGAGGCACCAGGTTAGGGGCACCTGAGATGGGGTGCAGGCAGCCCCTGTGTCTCTCACCATGCTGGCTCCCCTCTGGTGAGAAGGCAGAGTTAACTGTGAAAACCTCTGTACATCGCCAGAGCTGTCACCCTAGGGACCTGGACATCTTCTGAAGCCAGAGGAGAGCATTATTTTTAAGTAAGATCTGAACAGAAGGCTTTTCAGGTCCAATGTCCATTCTGTGTATGGCCCAATGTGACCAGCAAGAATTATTTATCAGGTTGGGTTAGGGTGTTTTTTTATTGCCCAAGTGGAACTGAAAGGTTTTGTTTTGCGTTGTGTTTGTTGTTCTTGGAGGCAGGTCTCGATATCTACTTCATGCTGAACTTGAAGTCAGTGTGCAGCCCAGGTTGGCCTGGAGTTCAGCCTCATCCTCCTGAGGGCTGGGATTACAGATGTGTGTCACTGTGTCCAGCTGAACTGAGTTTTATCGGTAAGCAAGACTGCGGCAAACCAGGCTGTCTTCTCAGGGACAGTCTTGTCCTATGCTCATCATGGCTGGACTGACACAGCAAATACGATTCCACTTGAGATTGAGAATACACACAGGTGATTTCCACATACTTGTGAAAATGGAGAGTATGCTCACCCTCTTCACCCACAAACCAGAAGGGAGTCATTTCCCATGAAGAGATGTTTCTCATCTGCACAATACTTCAACTCTGGCTCTGCAAGCAAAAATGTAATCAACAAATTAGCCAATTGGTTTTTCCTTTTATGAGAAATATTCCTCTCTCTTTTTTTCTTTTTGCATTTAACAAGTACTACATGCTTTATTCAAAAAGCCTGTCTCCCCTACAAAATCAAACTTGAAAACGATTGGGTGTGTTTACTATTTAGACCATCATACTTGCCATCTGGGTTCTATTTTTACAGCACTTTTTTCTTTAGTTTCAGCAGAGACACTTTCATTCTCAGGAAAGCAACTGACAAGAACAAGACAGATCCTGAGCTACCAGGGAACAAGAGCAGTTAAGACTCCAGCAAGAGCAATTAAGACGAATTCACAGCCAAATGCTCTTATAAGAGGAGCAGGTGATCAGCCCGGGGCATCATGAGAAACTGATCGAATACCAAACACTAGCGCAGGTCTGGAGGTTAGGACAATTCGCTTTCTCAGATGAGGTTTCATTCTGGAAACCGGAATCAGGTGAGGATTTAAAATCCCATTTTCCAGGGAAACGGATGGTTACAGAGCCTGAGACAAAAGCTGGATCAAACCAAGAATCTTCATCTTTATCGTAGCCTGAGCATTTTTTCTGTTGAAACCTCTCTCTCTCTCTCTCTCTCTGAGCTAGGGTCTCATTATGTAGTACAGGCTGGCCTTGAACTCATGGTAATTCTCCTGCCTCAGCCTCCTGAGTGTCAGAATCATAGGTGGCCCTACCACACCAGGTGCCGTATTACACTTGTCTGGAATGATCTATCTTCCTCCCTCTATTTACTGCCTCCCGTAAACCCTGGAGTAGTCCTACCTCCTTTCCGGAGTGCCCCTGGATTACTAAGGTTCACAGACTTATGTTTTCTTAGACTACCACACCAATTATAATTATTCATATTTATTTACTGATTTGTCTTCATCACTGTTTTATTTTTGTTACCTATTCCTCCTCAACTAGATTGTAAGTTTGTTGAAAATAAAATCTATAGTTTATTCTTTTCTCATCTAGTATATAGGGCTGAATGTATAGAAATACAGAGATAAATATTCAGCTGATTGGGCATAATGTTAATATGAATGCAAAACATTAATATTCAAAGTCAACTACAATAGTATTCTCTGCATTTTAAAATAAATTGTGCTTTCCTTTTTCTTTCTTTCTTTCTTTTTTTTTTGAGATGCCATCTCTCTATGTGGTTCAGGCTGGCCTTGAACTTGCCATGCAGCCCAAGCTGGCCTCTAACTCCTGATTCTCCTGCCTCAGCCTCAAGCATGCTAGGATGACAGGCATGAGCCATCAGGCCAAGCACTTGTGGTTTTTCTTAGGTTACTGTGTTGATACAATTTTATCTTTATTCATCTTCAACAGTTTCACTGGCATCTTATATTTAGAAAAAAATAGTGTCAATGGTATCCACATTTTAAAAACATTTTATATTAAAAAATAAAAACATGTATAATAGTAATAAGTATAAAACTAAATAAAATCATAAGTCAAACCATAAAAAAAACTTAGCACAGATAAAAGTCATCATCCAAATACCACTTCTTCATGGAAGGCAGAAATATAGACTTTTTCCATTTGAATAATATTTTCCAGGCTGGGGAATTAGCTCAGTGGCATAAGCGCCTGCCTTGCAAGCAGGCAGTTGTGAGTTTGATCCCTGGTACCGATAAAAAGGAAAAAGACAAAAAAAAAAAAAAATTTCCAAATTGATCTGGGTGTGGTGGTGCATGCCTGTAATCCCAGCACTCAGGAGACTGAGGCAGGAAGATTGCTGCAAGGTCTAGACCAGCCGGGGCTACAAAGTGAGTTCAAGGATAATTTGAACTGCATAGTGAAATCCTGTCTCAAAAAGACCCCAAAAAAACCAAACTTTTTTTCCCAAAGTTTAATATGCGTTTGCTAATCATAAGAGTAATAAATGTTTAAGGGAAAATCTTGCAGTCCAGGGTAAACTGCTTGTTTAACAGACAGAGAATTTTGTAGTCAATCTCCAACACTGCCAGCAGAAGAAAAGAAAAAGATGCTGAGCTCAGTCTTGATCGGATTTGACTCGTGCCCCTACATTTGTAAACCAAAGTCCTAAACCAGTCCCTAGGGGTAGAATTGTGCTGGCCATAGTTTTTAAAAATGTGAATAATTTAACATGATGTTATGGTTGATATACTGTGTCAACTGAGAAGTTTAGAAGTTTAACTAAGAGACTCAGCAGGGAGCCAGGATCCTTGCTTTGCAAATATCCTGAGCCTGTACAAGAAGAAGACACAGAGGTGGTGTGAGCACTACACCCACCCTGGGGGTGGTGTAGCCTGTTTACAATATGAGGGAGAGGAGGCTTGCTGCTTTTGTTGGCCACTGCCTTGAAGTGTTGCCCTTGTGCCATGCCATCTGATTGGATGCCATCTTGGAGCCATGTGATTATGGACTGCAACCTCCACAAACTGTAAGCTAAATAAATCTTACCTTCCTTCATTCTGGGTGTTGGGTATTTTGTCCTAGCAATGAGAGAAAAAGTAAACCAAGACAGAATTTGGTACCAGAGGAGTGGGGTTGTTGCTGTGACTGTACCTGACCATGAGATACAAGAGCCTTTGGGAATGGCTTTATAAGAAGAGTTAGGAAAGGTTTGGAGATGTTGTCACCTGAAACACTAGCGCTGGAATACCTTAGGCTGTTCTGTATGGGAGATTCTGGTCAGAGTTCAGGAGACCAGAAAGCTGATAGAAATCCTTCCAGTAAAGGCTCAGGAGGTTTCTGCTGGGAAGGACTGCACTGGGTGCTGGACTCCAGATGATGCATATTATGGCTTGGCAAAAAAAGTTTGTCTGTATTTTGCTCATGTCCAGAGACTGCCTGAGACTGAGATTAAGGGTTGTAGAATGATTAATCTTGTAAGAAATTTCAAGGCAGTTGAATGTTGAGGTGGAGGCCTGGCTATTGTTGGAAAATCAAGAGCAAAGAGCCCAACAGTATGATTTAAAATGTTATAAATTTGACCAGAAAGGAAGCTCTGCTAAAGCTGTGGACTGCAAAGTTAGAGCTAAAGAAATATCAATTGCTGAGAATGAACAGGAGAATAGAAAAGATGGCCTGAAAGCATCACAAAAAGTAGCAAATCTCTACTCTTTGCAGCCTCAAAACTGCTAAAGTGAAAAACTTTGTTTTGAGCTGAAAGCCACAGAGAACCATGTTCCAGAATGGTGGCAGCATAGAAAATTTGCCCCTCAGAATTGGGTTCATAGTGCCCAGTGATCAACCACTCAACCACTAACCAAGAGAGAGGAGAGTCTGATTACTGTTCCAACTGACAGCAGACCTTGGCATCGTCCACATGGTGCTGGTTTTAGGGAGATAAACAGTGCAAGAGTTCTGAGGTTAAAAAGGCTTACACCTGGATTTTAGAAGGCCTACGAGGCCAAGCATTGTGCCCCTGAGAGGGCAGTGTGTGAAGCTGTGAGTGTGAAGCCAAAGATGCAGTGGAGAACCCAGAAGTTTGGGAAAGCCAGGAACGTGGATCATCTAAGGAAAGCTATAAGAAGGGAGCAAAACCAGCCCAAGAGAGAAGCTGTGGGATCAGTAACCACCAGAGGTGCCATAGGAGTGGAGTCGCACAAACCCTTTGGAGCTCACAATTTGCCACAGATGGTCTCAAACGGTGCATACAGAATTATAGGATTTAATGTTTGTCCTGCTGGATTTTGGACTCACTTTGGTCCTAATCCTTTGTATTCTTGTTTGTAACTTTTGGAATGAAAATGTTTATCTTGTGCCATTGAATGTTGGAAGTGTTTGTTTTCATTTGTGCAGGGTCTTGCAATTAAGAGTTGTCTTTTTAAATCTCAGAGGAGTCTTGGGACTTGGACTTTTCAGCAAAGCTAAAACTGTTAGGACTTTGGTAACTCTTGCAGATGGACTAAATGCTTTTGCATAAAGGATTGTGCATGAGTCTTTGGAGGGCTAGGGAAAGAATGTTCTAATGTAATATAATACTGGTTCTTATGGATAGGTATACCTGTGTTATAATGTTCAAGTTGTGAAATGGGAAGAGTACGCATGCTTTTTTATCTGGAAACTGGTTTAAAGAAATGTCTGGTTGCCAAATTGAAAAGGGGTTAATTGTTATGGTTGATACATTGTGTCAACTCAAGAAGTTTAGAAGTTTGACTAAGAGACTCAGAAGGGAGCCAGGATCGTTACTTTGTAAATATCCTTAGCTTGTGCAAGAATAGGGCACAGAGGTGATGTCAGAGCTACACCTGCCCTAGGATGGGGGTTAGCCTGCTTATAATATAAGGAAGAAGAGGCTTGTCCCCCTCCTTTCCTTCTTGCTGCTTTTGCTGGCTACTGCCCCTGTGCCATGCCATTCTGCCTCCAGTCAGCTGACTATGAACTGAAACCTCCACAAATTGTGAGCTAAACAGTCCTTTCCTTTCTTAATTTTGGGTGTTGGGTATTTTGTCCTAGCAATGACAGAAAAGTAAACCAAGACACAGGAGTTCTCATGGTGGCCCCTGATTCAATCTGGAAGGTTTCTCCAAAAGAGATCAGTTCCCAGAGGATGCACAGCAGAGGAGACTTGGAGGATCAGGAGCAACTGGGCTGCTGTTGCTTGTTGAGGAGCAAGGCCACAGCGACGCCCACTCTGCCAGCCAGTTTGTGGGTTCCAAGATCCAGAGCTCCTCGGCCATCCAGCCTGCTGTAGCATGCTGTCTGGTACCGGCACTCAAGAGAGGGGACCTGGAGAGAACCCTTGTGGTTCATCTCCAGGATACAATGAGACCATCTCAAGAGCATAAAGCCTCAGTGTTTTCTGACAGGGGGTCACAGCATGTTGAGTATGGTAAACACTTCCATGCCCTGCTCCACTGGCCAGTATGGATGTCCTCTTTGTATGGGGTTGGGCGCTGGGGCACTCCAGCTCCCTGCTCTACCTCGAACTGATCCACAGCCCTGGTTTTATTTTGTTTTGGGATAGATCTCAGTCTAGAACTTGTGATCTTCCC